GGCGGCAGGTCCAAGTGACTGGTTGGTTCAAGGTGGTTGGTCGTGTGACCGACCTATAGAGGGTGACAGACCGAGTGGTCGGTCGGTTCAGTGTGGCCAACCAAATAAGTGGCCGGTTCAGGGTAGCCGACCTAGTTGTTGGGCGGCACGGTGTAGTCGACTGAGTGGTCGATCAACAAGGTGTGGCCAGCCGAGGAACCGACCAGCTGAGTTGGACACTTATGGTGATGGCATCTTTGGTGGTGGCACTCCAATGCAAACCCACACAAAAAATCAGCAATCTCAACCTATCCAAAAACTCAACCTACTTCATAAATTACGACACAGTCCTGAGCCTCTATCATGGACTCAAGCAATTAAGTTTCTACATTGGAATAAGACTATGACAAAAGACTTTCATGCTCTCAATCTCAAGCTACATGGGAATTGGTTCCCCCACCCCAACCCCTCTCCAAAATAGACTATTCTTGGTTGTCAATGTACTTATATCATCAAATACAATTCAGATTGAATGATTGATTGATACAAAGCCCACTTGGTTACTCAGAAATACAAATACGAATTTGGTATTAACTATTATAGGACTTTTAGCCTGGTCGCTAAGATGACCACACTTTGCATCATATTTGATTTGGCCTTCAATATCAATTGGCCTCTCCTACAACTTGATATCGTGAACGCACTCCTACGTGGACATCTTTAAGACACTATCTATATGCACAACTCATTGGCTTCAAAGATCCTCAATTTCTCAATCCTGTATGTCTTCTCAAGAAAGCTCTATATGGATTGAAAAAATCTCCTCGAGAATGGTTCACCACCCTTTCCACTTTCTTTATACACAATGGATTTCATATCAACAAATATCAACAAATCAGACCCATATGTTCATCACCAACAACAATACAACTGCCATAACCTCTCCAACCCAACTACTCACTACTGAATTCCAAATCAAGCATCTAGGTGAAGTCTCCAAGTTTTACAGTATTCAGGTGAAGTGCTCCACTAACTACATGAAGTTACATAAGCAACAATACCTATTGAAGATTCTTCAATACACTTCTATGCTTAATTCCAACCCAATCTCCATGCCTTTGCCAATTAAAAGGTATGAGAACTCTACGCCTAATGAAACTCTTGCTAAACCAACTGAATATATGCAAACTACATGTGTTCTCCAATCCTTGACAATCACTAGACCTGACATTAAGTTTGTCGTTAATTTCTTATTCCAGCATATGCATTAGCCAACGCTACATCATAATTAACTTCTCAAACTTATCCTTCGATAGTTAAAGGGTACAATGAATTCAGGGCTTTTCTTCTCTCGGGCTCCACTCATCCTTCAAACATATTATGATGCTGATTGGGTCGACAACTCGTCTAACAAGAAATTTGTTACAGGTTTATGCACATTTTTTGGTAGTAATCCTATCTCATATACTGTTAAGAAACAAACAACTGTTGCCCGCTCATCAATTGAAGCAGAGTATCGGCCTTTAGCAGTTGCTACAGTTGATCTTATAGGCTTAGACACTTATTAGAAGAATTGGGAGCTGCACATAAGTGTTTGTTCAATCTTTTCTACGACAACATCTCCACAATGGCCATTGTAAACAATCTGGTATTCCATATGTGCACCAAACATATTGAGATAGATCACCACTTCATTTGTGAACACCTCCAGGTCAGTACCCCCCAATTGCATTACATCCATACACAAGATTAACCGGCGGATATACTTACCAAGCCTTTGCAAAAGCACGAATTCAATCTCCTCGAGTCCAAGCTTCAAGTCACTAGTAAGACTCCTCAGCTTGAAGGGGGCCTTAACAAATCCTCACCTATCGGTAATGAAGCAATGAAGGACCACCCCATTATGTGTGGCCTATAGGAAGAATATTTAGAATCCTAACCAACTCCATGTGATAACAAGATGTTATGTGTATTCTAGAAATCTCTTCTCCTCTCTATATATAGAGAATGTTCTCCAACAAAAAAACACATATGCAAAATTGTGCAATCGATGTTCAACCAGACTACTTGTATGAGCACAGACATACACTTATTTTCTCTAATTTCAATTCCTCATAAATGTTTTATTTTATTTTAAGAAAATAATTATATTGTTTTATAAAATTTTTTATGTACTCTCATGAAAGGACAGGACAATCAAACTGAAACAAAATATCATATATATATATATATATA